CAGGAGCCTTTGCCAAGGAAGCCTGCACAACAACATCTATCATGATTTCTTCAGTCTCGGCTATGTCGTCCGTTGAAGCTTCCTCATACATGTCTTCCTTAGTCTCCGCCTCTGATTTGGGATCGGCTATATGCTCCATTCCATCTCTGTGTCCTATGGTAGTCTGAGGCATTTTGGGCACATTTGTAATTTCCATTGTTCAAAAGATCATGGACATATTGGTGGACTTTAGGTAGTCCACTTATTTCTTCAGTTCTGCAATGGCGGTCTTTAAGGATGTTACCTCATCTGTGGCTCATTGGTCGCGCTCACACACTGCTCTCCTGACCTCTAGAGCATCAATAGTAGTGCTCAGTGGGTTCACAACATCATCAAGGGTAGCCTGAATCATGCCTGGAATGGAAATTTCTATGTTGGCAGTCCGAAAAGTAGCAGATTGGGAAAACTGCCCCATTCGGACCAAGGAAGCCTGAGTGATTGACCTACATGAGGCAACGACAACAATTGTTCTGGGTGTTAATGAGGTAGCAGAGGGACCTGGAGTGTTAGAAGGAGTGGTCATGACATCAGATATACCTGAAGGCCTAGGGGCCGGAGTAGGCAAAGATGCTTCTGTAGGTATAGGTCCAGTGCGTACAACTTCTTTTTGTTTCTTTTCCGCTTATTCCTTAAGATATTCAGCTTCGATCTTTCGGATACTGGTGGAGGTGGTGGCAACCAATTCCACGTCCTTCTTTGCCTCTCTAGGCACTCGAGCTCTTTTGCACACTGCAGTGATTAATATCGGAAAAAGGAGAGATGTTTGGCCTTGCTTTGCACTCTTATGGATCTCGGAGGAAATGATCATCCCTAGATTTATCCTGGTCTTCTCTATGATGTATCTAAGACAAGCTACCTTGGCAAGGCAAATGATTGATTCATTATGTGATGGCATAATGGTGTTGCTGATGAACCAAAACCAGTATCTTGCAGCTACCTTCAGATCTTTCCTTTCAATCGAAACACCTTCTGCCAACCATTTGTAGGCTCAACTTCAATTTTGATGTTTGTGTAATCAAGGGCACAATTTCCAATGCAAGTTTCTACGATCGTGCAATAGTATAATAACCCAACTAAGGGTTGAGATCGTCCCAAGAGAGTGGTTTTGAGAATTTATAGAAAAATAAAATTTAGTTCTAACTAGTTATAGCTAAAATATTAACGTGCAAAAACATTGTAAATTAATAAACGGGGACACAAGAACGTCAATTAACAATGGGGTTTTTTTTTGTCACAAGTAAGGTAATAACAACAAAATAAACAAGGGTTTCTAAGTAATGAGAGGGAATCCTTGGGATGTGACGGGAATACGGGTTAAGCTAGATTATTGGGTACATGGTTGCGATAGAAAATTTATAGAGTAGTAGTGACTAGGCTAAGCTTTATGTGGGAATAAGTTCTCTCTCGAGCAACTTACCCCGTTTCAAATGGGTTCCTCTCAGACACCCACTTGCCGCATGAAGACCAGACTACACCTTATCCCACTCACTCTCTCGAGCTGAGTGATAGGATACTGGACTAGGGTTCACTCTCTAGAGCTGAACCTCATGTCGACCCACTCCTTAGGCCATCAATCTAGTAGTCTTGGTTTCGCGACTTCTCTCTCGATCAAGCAGAAAACACAGAAATAAACTTGTATTTGCAACTACAAATTTGTTAAATTCATCCATAACTACTAGATGAAATCACCATTAAACTACATTTAAACTATCAGCAAACAAAACCCAACTACATCTAAACTATCAACAAACAAAACCCAACTACAATCTTAACCCATATTTGCTAAATAATACTGCAAGAATGGGGTTTTTAGCAACACATCAAGAGATAGAAGTTTATACGTAAATGAGCTTGCATTCAAATGGTTATGAAGATTTAAGTCTTGTTACAGGCCAAGAATGAACAATCCAAGAGACCCAAGTCCAAATCCTTGGAGATGAAACCCCGTTCTTCTTCAAGTTTCCAAAACTCTCTAAAACCTAGAGCAAAAATATCCAATTGTACTATTCTCTAAGTGAAAATTTTAATAAAAGTTCCACACTAAAACTAAAACTCTAACTAGTATTTATAGTTCTCACATATTTGTGCTGCAGCGGATCGTTCGGTGTCATTAGTCAGAATCGCCGATCAACTCGGTGATTCGCCCTTTGGTGTAGTTCATCGCCGCCTCGTACAAACCTTCTGCATCGTTGTGCTCTGGGCCATTGGGCGGTATGGTACTGCTTCCCGGAACTGCTTGCCGATGCACCGACTGCTCCCTTTTTCTGCCAACTTGATCCTTTTCTTACGGGCTCAGCACACTGGAACAAAAGGCTAAGTAAGTCCCTTTGGCGACTCGCCAAGTGAACTCAGCGATCCTCAGGCCTTAATTTCTTCAAAATTTTTAGCCCTTTTCGTTTCTTTTTTGCGACGTACTGTCCATGTTCTCTTTAACTTGAAAAACCTAAAACTTAAGGGTTTTCATCATATATTGAGATAAAACAAGCATTTGAGGAAAAAATTTCTATTAAAATATAACCCTTGTTGAGTCCAATTTTGTGGACTCATCAACACCCCCTACTTAAACTTTTGCTTGTCCTCAAGCAAACTCAAGTTCGGTCGTTCAAAAAGGGTGTCTCAAACAGTGCTACACAAGACTCAATCCTGAATGCACACAACAAGACTCAATTTAGTTCGGCAAAGATCAATTGTGTACTCAAAGATTCAAATTATGACACACCATTACCTAAGATTCTCATGCTCACAATACTTGATTCAAATGCAAGTTCAAGCTCAACTATATTGTTCAAATGCCCTCATACAAAGAATGATTCCATATTCATACAATGGTTTCACAGTTTAAAGCTTTGGAATCAGATGCAACGCTCACACTCACAAAAAAGAACATAATGCATCCTTTCACACATAGGTTTGCCCGTATTTTTTAATCATCATTTGTTTCAGCTCACTAAAGATCAAAAAGGTCTTTTCAAGGCTTCTAATGGGGTTGAGTGCAAATGTATGGTCGTTTAGTCTCAGTGACTTTCATCCTCACGAGGTGTGGTGCTCGCAACAGTTACTTTCCTTTCTCCTTCATCATTTTAATTAGTGCTCATAAGTTATCCTTTTATTCACCTTCCACAAATTGTATGGGAACCCCCTTTTATTTTAAAACTTTATTCCACAACTTTTCTTTTTCATTCTTTTTTTTTGTCTCTTTTTTGTATATGGAGGGGTTCCATTTTTCTCAAAACCATGGGTAAGAGGGAATTTCTTGCACTTCTTGATTTGCCTTCTCTTTTCACCACACCCCCGACTAAGGCTTTTGGTCTAAGTTGGCTATTCAAACAAACTACCACTTCATGAGAATTATGGGTGATGGATTAAGAAAGGTTTAGTGTACATCAAGTTTCTTCCAAAGAAGGTTAAGGTTCAAGGGTTGTTCAATAGAGGATCACGCACTTACAAGCTAAGTCAGAAAAGCGGTATATATCAAATTGGCTAACACTCATAAAAATTGCCTAAGATCATATCAAGAGAAAGCTTCACTTAGTTAACTGGACCAACGGGGCAAATTCTAGGATTTATCATGCACAGTTCACAGGTAAGCTCATCACACTAGGCATCGACACTTAAGTCAAACAAGTGTCCACACTTTCTCTAATGAGCAATGGTTATCACAAGAGAATTGATTTGATAAATGGCTAATCACAATGAGATGCGAAGAGTTCACATATTGTCTATGCAACTTCATTTGGCCTCATTGTAGCTGTACAATCATGTTCGTTTGATTGTAAGCACTATTGAAGCCATTGGTATTGATCCAAACCGAGACTCAAATTTTGCAAAAGAGCAACCACATTTAACATATGAGAGGTGGCAAAAATGTGCGAAAGGGTCAAAATTATTTTACAATTTAAAACAAGAAGGGATTCATAAGCTCAAATGTCAAAATTATCGTTCTTTGTTCTGGGGTAATCTGTCGTCCTTGCATCTCTTGTGGAGTTTTGTGCCCTTATATGTCGGGGTGGCATATGTATGTAAAGCCTTGAGATGAAGTTAGAAATACAAGCAGATTAAGCAGTCCATTCGGCAAACAGAGGGATGCAACTGAAAGTTACACTGCAAAAGGGGCCAGCGGTGCAAACAAAAGGAGAACCAAAAATCTTTCGGTGAAATGTCGACTGCTTTCGGTGTCGTCATGTGTCTCATCGAAAGTTACAGAATTCAACATTACAATTTTATTTCAATGAAAGGCGAGAAGGAATTGTAGGCCAACCGCCAAGTGGTTCGGCGAGCTTGACCCAGCTCGCCAAACGACCTAACGTGCCTACTTTCGACTCACTTTCCCTAATTCAACCCTGCGATCCCCGAAGACACAATTCAGGAATGCACAACTCAAATTAGGCTTACAAACAGTGACAATCATTCTCAACCCACAAATTTAAAATAAGTTTTAAAATGCAACCTACATGAATTAATCATTTAACTTAGTACATGCAAAATTTGCTGATCTAACGGTCATAAAAATATTCTAATCCTACCGGAGAAACCCAGCACAAATCAACAAGGTAATGTCTTTTCATTAAGTCCAAAATTAATAGAAAGAACTCAGAGTTTGGGAACCAACCTTTCGTGCTGAAAAAAATATAGTTGATTCACTAGGCAGCAATGTAGTCCAATCCCGAACACAAATCACCAACTAATATACTTTAAAAGTGTAGGGATCTTGAAGATAGAGTGCAGTTGTTAGTTTGTGCAGATAAAAAGTGAGGGAAACTGAATGGAGTTGAAACTTTTAAACCTTTGGCTAGTAAAAACCATTCAATTCTCACCCACTCGGCGACTTTAGTTTATCTCGAATGCTCAATCAGCGGAATGCCAATTTTGTAGCTTCTCTGCTAAAATTTAAAGTACCTCTGGTTTATGAGAAGGTCTAAAACACGGTCTAGGTCGGTGGTTCGCCAATAAGTTCCTGTGATTCACCAAGTTTTACGAACTCCAATGCAAGATGGTATAGAGTCTATTGGCGGTCTAGTTCTGAGTAGCCGAACTGTTCGGCGATTCGCTAATTGGACCTGTTGCTGGCCAGTCTGCACTTTTCGTTCACTCTCCACACTTCCATCTACACAATCAACACACCATTATTTTACCAAAAAATAAGAAAGCCACTAAATGGGTTTTGGGTTGACTCCCAAATAGCGCCTTAGTTAACGTCGCGGCACGACGCAGCAGCACCTTCAAGCGTCTTCCAAATACACCATTTCAACCAAAGAAATCTCTTGACAATTCCCAAAGTATAGTTTCAGATGTTGACCGTTCACTTTAAATGGAGGTCCTTCTTGATCTTCAACAGCACCATTGGTGAGCACTCACTTTACTCTAAAAGGTCTAGACCATTTGGACTTGAGCTTTTTGGGAACAAGTCTAAGTCAAGAGTTGTATAACAAAACCCATTCTCCTATCTTGAAGTCCATCTTGAGTATCCGAGTGTCATGCCACTTCTTCATCTTCTCTTATAGATGGTTGAACTTTCGTATGATCTAACTCTAAACTCATCCAGTTTGTTCAACTGATCTGCCCTCTTTCTTGAAGTTTTTGACCAGTCCAAATTTAAAGCTTTCAATGCCCACAATGCTTCGTGTTTTAACTAGACAACAAAATGGCACACCTTACCATAAACCAACTGATATGGGGACATACCGATATGTGTTTTGTAAGCGGTTCGATATGCCTATTGTGCATCATCAAGTTTCCTAGACCAGTCAGTTCTGTTGGCATTTACTGTCTTTGCCAAGATGCTCTTGATTTCGCGATTTGACACTTCGACTTGGCCATTTGTTTGGGGATTATATGGGGTTGCTAATTTGTCTTTCACCCCATATTTGCTCAGTGCCATTGAAAATCACCTATTGCAAATGTGGGAACCCCATCACTAATGATTGCTCTAGGAGTGCCAAATCTTGTGAAGATATGGCGTTTCAGAAATTGGACAACGCTTTTTCCTTCGTTGCTTGGAAGTGCAATGGCTTCCACCCATTTGGAAGCATAATCTACAGCCAACAAGATATATTTATTACCAAATGATCTCACAAATGGGCCTATGAAATCTATCCCCCATACATCGAACAACTCGACTTCTAAAATAAGAGTGAGAGGTAATTCGTGTCTTCAAGACACTTCGCCTTACTGCTAACATTGAGGGCATTTCTTCTCAAATTCGTGTGCATCCTTGTAGAGGGAAGCCTAGTAGTATCTACTCTGGAAAGTTTAGCGGCGGTACGAATACCACCACGGTGACCTTCCACTGGAGATGTATCAAAAGCATGGAGAATTTCTAACGCTTCTTCTTTCGGAACACACCTCCTAAAGACATGCTCAGCACACTCTCAAAACAAGTATGGTCAATCCCAAAATTAATTTTTAACATCGAATATGAACCTCTTCTATTGGTAAAAGTTTAACTCATCTGGCATCAGCCCATACACAATGTAATTCAATAATTCTGCATACCATGGCGTATGTTTGAGAGATATTTCAAACACCTGTTCATCAGGGAAGTAGTAGTTTATGTCGACCTCATGCTCAATATTTGGCCTAACTTCCAACCTTGCCAGGTGATCAACAACTTGATTTTCACATCCTTTTCGATCTCTTACCTCAAAATCAAATTCTTGTAATAGTAGCACCCACCTTATCAATATTGGTTTTGCATGTTTCTTTTCCATCATGTTACGGAGTGTAGCGTGATCAGTATGTACAATTACTTTGGTGCCTAGAAAGTATGCTTGGAAATTTTTAAATTTATAGACTACCGCAAGAAACTCTTGTTCAGTGACTATATAATTTTGTTGGGGAATATTAAGAGTCTTGCTTGCTTAATAAATTGGGTGAAATAGTTTGTTGCGCTTTTGCCCCAACACACTGAAATGCAGCCATACAAGCATCGTTAAAATATAATTTCACTTCCTTTTCTAAGAGTTTGCATAATGGATGTGCAATCTTTGAGAAGTCTTTAATGAACCTTCGGTAGAACCCTGCATGTCCCAAGAAACTGCGAACACCCTTAACTGAAATCAGTGGGGGTAATTTCTCAATGACCTCAATTTTTGCCTTGTCAACTTCCAGCCCCTTTTGCGACGTGTTGTGCCCAAGAACGATACCTTATTTCACCATAAAGTGTCATTTCCCCCAATTTAGAACTAGATTCATTTCCACGCACCTTTGTAGTACCTGCACTAGGTGTGTCAAGCATTCTTCAAACGTATCCCCTACAACTGAGAAGTCATCCATGAATACCTCTATAGAGACTTCGACCATATCCGCAAAAATAGACAAAATGCAACGTTGAAATGTTGTTGGGGCATTACATAGCCCAAATGGCATCCTTTTGAATGCAAATGTTCCATAACGGCAAGTAAAAGTGGTTTTCTGTTGGTCTTCTGGTGCAATAGAGATTTGATTGTAACTGGAGTACCCATTCAAAAAATAATACCACCCCTTTTCTGATAACCCGTCAAGCATCTAGTCCATAAAATGTATTGGAGAATGGTCTTTCTCGGTCCATGAGTTAAGCTTTCGATAGTCCATGCATACTCTCCACCAAGTCATTGGTCTTGTTGGCACAAGTTCTCCTTCGTCATTTAGGACTACTGTTATACCTCCCTTTTTTGGTACACATTGCACCGAACTTACCCACTAACTGTCTGCAATGGGGTATCTCACTCCCGCATCTAACAACTTGATGATCTCCTTTTTCACCACTTCTTGCATTGGCGGGTTCAATCTCCGTTGATGCTCCACACTAGGTTTACATTCAATGTCGAGCCGAATCTTGTGAGTCCAGAGAGGAATTCCTATTATATCAGCTATTGTCTATCCAATAGCTTTTATATGCTTACACAGTACTTCCATGAGCAATTGCACCTTCTTTTCAAGAAAATCAGCGGCGATAATCACTAGTAAAGTATTATTGGAAGGCATATTGAAATGAGATAGTAGGACTTTTAACTCCAGATTTGGTGGTTCTTCTGTTGATGGGTTTGCAGGAGAACTTTCTCTGTTCAGGTCGATATCGAACTTGACTGGATTTCTTGAATATACTCCTAACCCCGATAAGGAAGCTACCGCTTCCTCATAGCCTTGAACTTTGGATTCATCATAATTGACAAGTACATATTCCAGTGGTTCATTCTGTCGCATTAAATGGCTCACACTCTCCTCTGCCTCATCTATAACATCCTTAGTAGACAACACATGGATATTACTTGGTTGCTTCATGGATTTACAGATATTGAAGGTCATCTCATCATCATTCAGATGGAACTTTAATTTCCCGCTTTTGACATCCACCAATGCTCTCCCGGTAGCTAATAATGGCCTTCCCAAAATAATGGGGATTTCAGCATCGATCTCACAACCTAGAATCACAAAATCAACCAAAAATATGAACCAAACTACTTTTACCAATATGTCATAGAGTATCCCCACTGGGTGCTTGATTGATCGATCTGCCATAAAGAGTCTCATTGTGGTTGCCTTTGGTTCACCCAACCCAAGTTGCTTGTATATTTCATAAGGCATCAAGTTAATGATTTCTCCTAAATCGTACAAAGCATTAGCAAACTGGAGCATGCCAATTGTGCATGGGATTGTAGATGTCCCAGGATCTTCTCTCTTAGTGATTGACTCATTTGTCATAATTGCACTGCAACTATGGGGCACCTCAATCGTTTCATAGTCCAAGCTCTTTTTCTTTGTAACCAGCTCATTTATGAATTTGGCGTATCCCGACATTTCCAACAATGCTTCCACCAGAGGAAGGTTAATTGATATGTTCTTGAATACTGACAAAAATATTTTGATTTTCTCATCTTCATTCTTCTTTTTCAAACGATGGGGAAATGGTGGACGTATCTTGGATAAAGGGTGCAGGACTTTGGGAACTTGCACTCGTTGTTCCACTTCCTCTTGTGGTTTTTTTTAAAGGTTACTATGGTAAAAGTATTAGAGCAACAATTCGCCTGGCAGTCCATGCATTGGGCACTTACCCAAAATTCTCTTGAACCTTGTCCATGATTCGTGAATTGGTTCACCCTCCTTTTGCTTGAAATTCTGAATGTCGTCTCTCAGTTTTATCATTCTTGATGGAGGAAACAATCTGTTGTGAAATGCCTTAACCAGTTCCTCCCATGATTTGATGGAATTGTTTGGACGCTCGACCAACCATTTAGTAGCTCCCCCGGTTAATGATAATGGAAATAAGCGAAGCCATATGAATTCTTGAGATAGATTCTTGAATCATAAAGGGGTGCACACTTCCACAAAGCTTCGTTTATGTTCGTGCGGATCTTCTTGCTCTAACCCTTTAAATAAACCTCTTGACTGTATGAGCTGGAATGTTGCGCTTGTAACTTCGAACATTGCATTTCCGTCAGCATGTGGGATGCAAATTGCACCCATCCCTCCATGTGAGCAGGGTTATAAACACTATTAACATCATGAATGTTGTCTAGACGAAAAGTACCACCTGTTGGGTAACCCGCTAGGCAGCTATTCTCCTCGTTTGCACTCATATGTCCTGTTGTGACACATAAATATTCAAAACAAATCTGAGAGTTAAATGAGTAAACTACAACTAAGAAGAACAAAAATTGTACTGATCTAAAAGTTCTCAAATAACACCACTCCACAGTAGTGGCGCCATTTTGACGTTTGCGAAATCAAGGACACAACTTCCAATGCAAGTGTTTACGATCGTGCAATAGTATAATAACGCAACCAAGGGTTGGGATCGTCCCAAGAGAGTCGTTTTGACATTTTATAGAAAAATAAAATTTAGTTCTAACTAGTCGTAGCTAAAGACATTAACGGGTAAAAACATGGTAAATTAAAAAAGGGGGACACAAGAGTGTCAATTAACAATAGGGGACTTTTGTCACAAGTAAGGTAAAAATAGCAAGATAAACTAGGGTTTCTAAGTAATAAGAGGGAATCTGTGGGATGTGATGAGAATACTGGTTAAGCTAGATTATTGGGTACATGCTTGGGATAGAAAATTTATAGAGTAATTGTGACTTGGCTAAACTTTATGTGGGAATAAGTTTTCTCTCAAGCAACTTACCCCGTTTCAAATGGGTTCCTCTCGGATACCCACTAGCCGCATGAAAACCAGCCTACGCCTTACCCCACTCACTCTCTCGAACTGAATATTAGGATATGGGACTAGGGTTCACTCTCTCGAGCTGAACCTTATGTCGAACTAGTCTTTAGGATAGTTTGGTTTCACGACTTCTCTCTCTAGCAAGTCGAAAACACATAAATAAACTTGTATTTTAAAAAACAAATTTGTTAAATTCATCCATAACTACTAGACGAAATCAACATTAAACTACATCTAAACTATCAACAAACAAGACCCAACAACAATCTTAACCCATATTCGCTAAATCACACCCCAATAATGAGGCTTTTTAGCAACACATCAAGAGATAGAAATTTATACCTAAATGAGCTTGCATTCAAATGAGTATGAAGATTTAAGTCTTGTTAGAAGCCAAGAATGAAGAATCAAAGAAACCCAAGTGTAAATCCTTGGAGATGAAACCCTCTTCTTCTTCAAGTTCCAAAACCCTCAAAATCTTAGAGTAAAATTTTCCAAATGTACAATTCTCTAAGTGAAAATTCTAATAAAACTTCCACACTAAAACTAAAACTCTAACTAGTATTTATAGTTATCACAGATTTTTGCTGCAGTGGATCGTTCGATGTCATTAGTCGGAATCACCGATCGACTTGGCGATTCGCCCTTTGGTGTAGTTCATCGTCGCCTCGTACCAAACTTCTGCATCGTCGTGTTCTGGGCCATTAGGCAGTATGGTACTGCTTCGTAGAACTGCTCGACGATGCACCGACTGCTCCCTTTTTACCACTTCTTGATCCTTTTCTTCAGGGCTCAGCACACTGGAACAAAATATGAAGTAAGAACCTTAGGCGACTCGCTAAGTGGACTCGGCGATCCTGGGGAATTCATTTCTTCATTCTTCTCAGCCCTTTTCGTTCCTTTTTTGCGACGTAGTGTCCATGCTCTCTTTAACTTCAAATACCTTAAACTTAAGGGTTTTCATTAGATATTGAGATAAAATAAGCATTTAAGGACACAATTTCTATTAAAATATAGCCCTAGATGAGTCCAATTTTGTGGACTTATCAACACCCCCAACTTAAACTTTTGCTTGTCCTCAAGCAAACTAAAGTTCAGCCGGTCAAAAAGCTTGTCTCAAATAGTTCTACACAGACTCAATCATGAATGCACACAACAAGATTCAATTTACTTATACAAGGATCAATTGTTTACTCAAAGATTCAAGTTGTTACACACCATTACCAAAGATTCTCATGCTCACAATACTTTCTTCAAATGCAAGTTCAAGCTCAACTATAGTGTTCAATTTCCCTCACACAAAGAATGATTCCATATTCACACAACGGTTTCACAATTTAAAGCTTTGGAATCAGATGAAACACTCACACTCACAAAGAAGGACATAATGCATGCTCACTGTCATAGGTTTACCCGTATTTTCCAATCAACAATTGTTTCAGCTCACTCAAGATCAAAAAGGTCTTTTCAAGGTTTGTAATGGAGCATAGTGCAATGGTATGGTCAATTAGGCTCAGTGACTTTCATCCTCATGTGGTGTGGTACTCGCAACACTTCCTTTCCTTT